AAACTGATTTTTAAAATTTGCAAAAAATATTACAATTATTGCACTTTTTACAAAAGTCTCAATATTGCTCCAAATGAAAAAATAAAAATTGGAACTTGTAGTATGGTATGCTGGAGAAATGATAATAAATTAAAATTATGATAAAATAACTACCAGATGGTTTTAAACTGGTGTGGAGGGAGACATTCATCAGTCTCACAGTGGAAAAAACAGTGGAGGAGGCAGTGCTATCAAATTCAACTTGTGTTTTGAGCTGGATACTGAGGTCCAAATAATTTCTGGTGTTGATTTTTTTCATTTATTATCATTCTTCTTGCTAGAGATGTTGCTCGATACCCGGGTACCTGTAGCGGGTGCAGGCACCTGCCTCAAAAATCCAATATTTTTGACACCCACACCCGCACCTGCACCTGCTAGGGCCGCCAGGGCGGGTACCCGGGTACCTGTGGGTACCTCGCACATTTTTGCAGGCAAATATACCCAGAAATCTCACCCTTGAATTTCTGCATGACTTGGTAAATATAAGATTGATATTGACTAGATATATGAGTAAGAATAAAATAAAAATAAAGAAATAAATAAAGAAAGTCAAATTATTCTATCACCAATTTGAATTTTATCTTCTCTCTGATCTATCTTTAGCTTTACCCTTTTGCTTGGCCTCATTTGCCTTATTCAATGTCCATTGATGAAGACTCTACAAAGTCTTTATGACTGGAGGAATTCCTCCAGTGATCAAGACTGTACACCATCTCAAAGGCCGGAGGGAACCCTCCGGCCTCAACAAAGCAACCAGATTAGTTCAGCAACACATGTAGGACACCAGCTGGTGTCCTACATGGGTTGCTGACACCTTTTTGCAGCCCAACACACCCAAAAAAGGGAGCGTTGGACCACCAAATTACCAATGATAAATCAAATTCTTCAGAGGAAGCATTCACAGGGCGGGTGTAAGGCGGGTACCCAGGTACCTGCCTTTTTTTACCGCAAATGTTGACACCCGCACCCGCACCCGCACCTGTTTTTACTGCAAATGTTGACACCTGCACCTGCACCCGGTACCTGTTTCCGGGTACCAACGGTGGGCCGCTACACTAACCGTAGCGGTCAGTGTAGCGTAACACAGCAGAATTCCCGTTAGCGTTAAGTGTTGCCTAGCAGAATTCCGCCACAACACTGCTAACGCTACGCGTGTGGGCCACAAAAAAGGGCCCACTACGCTGTGCTACAGCGGTCTTTAGCGGTTTTTAGCCGCTTTTTCCGCTAAAAGCGCTGTAGCGCAGCGTAGCGTAGCAAAAATGCGCTACAAAAGCGCTAACACTACAAAATTTTGGCACAAAAAAAGGGCCGCTACGCTACGCTTTTTGGGCCAAAAGTGTAGCGGCCCACCGCTGCCGGTACCTGCTTTGGAAAACTGGTACCTGCAAACGGGTACCGAGTACCTGCAAACAGGTACCGAGTACCTGCTGACATCTCTACTTCTTGCATACCATACCACTCTTCCCAATTTTTATTATTTCATTTGGAGCAATATTAAGACTTTTGAAAAAAGTGCAATAATTGTAATATTTTTTGAAAATTTTGAAAATTGGTTTTTCATACTTTTGTTTTCAGAATCATTTTTTGAAACCTCTTTTATACCACTTGCTCAAGTCTCATGATTGCAAGTTGGTTGGGTTAGGGTTGTGTAATCCCAAACAAATTGGCTATATACATCTGGGAGGGCACTGTACATCATGGGACCAATCTGATGTCTCATCAACGGTGGGCCTCTACTCTACGCTGCACTAAAAAGCCCAGTAATTTTAGTGTAGCAGCCCTCAAAACAGCCTTCCAAACCTGTGGTGTTAGCACACTGTAGTGCCACTACACTACATTATGCTGTGCTACGGCGCTTGTAGCGGCAAAAATAGGCCCAAAAACCGCTAAAATGCACTGTAGTGCAGCGTAGTGGGCCCTTTTTTGCAACCCACACGCGTAGATTCAGCAGTGTTGTGGCAGAATTCCTGTCAGCGCCGGTCTCTTATGTGACCTGGCGTTGATGGGGTTTACGGGTCACACTATAACTGCTAGTGGTACTAGCAGCCAATGGATTAGAAACCTCGCCTCGACGCTAGAAAGCGGAGGGGTTAAGCTCCCTGTAAATGTAGGGGACGCTTGCGGTAAGGTCTTCGCAGCGCCGGGCTTTAGAGGAATGATCAACTCTCTTCTAGTCTACAGTATTGACTTTACTGTAGCCTAGGGATGAGATAAAGGATAAGGATAAGGATAAGGATAAGGGGGGTGGATAGTAATAGATTAAATGATAACCCCACTCACAATTGTATGTAAGGTGCACGGGTTGTATGGTAATAATCTCTGGGGGGAGGGTTCTTGGGAAGAAGACCTCCCCCTTAAGTATTACAAAGGCAGGGGTCAACCTGCCTGTGAGACCGGTGAGGCCTGCAGAGGATCATTTATGTATATAATCATAAATGATCAAAATATGTATTTAAATTAAGCTTTAAACTAAAAGTGGAGGAAATGATGTCATTCAAACTCAAACGAGAAAGAATGATGTCATCTCTCTAATTACAGTGTATAGAGAGATGATTAAGATTTCAAACTGTATGTATATAAAATATGTATATTAATACAGAGGTGAATACTTAAGTAATTCCGTGGAATTACTTAAAGCATAAAAATATAAAATAAAATAATAAAAAGATAAGATTACATAATTGGGGTTTGAACCCAAGTGTGTTGGTGAGGCAAAGTCATAACACAGTCTTTAACCAATACACTACAGTACATGTGTTTGTTGGTTAAGTACAGGTTGTAGACACATGGGCTACAGCCTCAGTGTCTGACAATTCCGCTGCACTACGCTTAACGTTAGCAGGAATTCCACTACGTTACCCTACACTAACTGCTACGGTTAGTGTAGCGGCCCAATGTTGGTCCCATGGACAGCATCTGAGCTGTCCAGAACTTTCAGGGAAGAGAGTGTCTGTCCATTGGACACTACTCTGCCTGACAAATTGCGGACAGTTTCTGGAAAACTGTCTCCTGGATAGTTTTCAAGCCGTCCAATGGATGATTTTTATTGCAGTGAAAAGAAAAAAGTGAGGAGACTTGTATTGGAAGCCAAGACCTCATGGCTGTACTGCCATTGCACATCCACAAGGCTTGTTCTTGCTGACTGCACTATGCATAATTATCCTTCCAAGGGTGGCCAAATTGTTAATCATACACCAAATGTGTACTTTGGAGCAAGCCATTTCACAACTTTTTTTATGATCAAGTGCATTTTTGGATCTTTTTTTAACAATCACTGCACTTGCACTTTCAGAGTGTTTTTTGGGTTTTTGTTCATCTGGGTCTACATTGCCCACATATTTGGGGGGTTTCCTGGGTCCTGGTTTGCAAATTGTATTTTGAGTTGAGATGTAGACAATTTCTAGGGTTTTCCATGTGAATGTGTCATCCAATTAGATTAAGATTGATAAGATGGTTGAGGCAGAAAGACATCAGATATCAGAGTGTGACACATTGAGTTTCAACAATATATAAAAAGCAAATCCCAATGACACAGGGTGTTGTATTATGTGGACTGTCAATTATAGATGTTCTTTCTCAATTTTCACAGGATAAAGCTTTCTGAAATCATGCTCAATGGAGGACTTCCCGTCGACCAGATGGCTTAATTCAGACGGACCGGCTAAACTTTGTTTGCTGGTGAAATCTCGAGGTCAAACAATTTTCACCAGCCAATAATGTTTAGCCCTTCCTTGTAAATTTACAAATTTAGAGGACGGGAAGTCCTCCAATGGTGAAATTATGGAAATCTAGTAACAGAAGTTTAGAATTTAAGATTCTAATTGCCAAAGTTTAGGCCCTATTTGTTCTTTCATAATTGGGCATGATAAAGCTTCAAGGATTGACTTTATTGAAGAAAAAATGCCTGACATGCTAAAATCCATGATTTTTGCATATGATGACAACAAGGATGATACTTGGGATGGCTTGGAATTCCTGCTATTGTGTTGGACAGGTTGGGGTGGTTCATAATCAAAAAAATGCCACCCAAACCAAACATGTTTATGAGTGGGCTACCTGCAGGCTGCCTATGGGCCACAAATGTGCCTCTTCAAAAGAAAATTTTGCTCATGTTGGGGCTGGAATCAGCCTTTATTGGCTGTCAGATGAGTTAAAATGGTCCTACATAGCTACTAGTGGATTAAAGATAAATAGAATTTCAGGCCCAACAGCCTAAGATATAATCAGTTATCAGCTGACAGGTATCCAACAGGAAGCTTGCCAGAGCTAGGGTTGTCGGCGCCATGTTTGAAAAAGTGCGCCCCCATGGGCGCCTACCAAGCCTTCCAAAGGGGTGCGCCTTTGGCTGGTGCAGGGGTGGCGCGCCCAGGTGCCTTTTTTTTTCTAATTGGTACAGTTGCGGATGGCAAAAACCGACCATGCCCCGCCCGCAAAATCAAAGATTGACACGCGGGGTCTATGCCCGGGGGGGCATGTACCCCGATACTTATTTTTATTACAATTTTGAACTCCTACAGATGTGTAGAGTTCAAAATTGTAACCACTAAGCTTCTACTGCAGTGGTTCTTTTTTTTATTTGTGTGACATACATGTATCCGGACGTGCATACCAAAATCCATACTTAAACCCATAGTTATGGGTTTAAGTTAGCTTATTCATGGTCTTATACCTCTTCAAGGTCCTTCAAGTGCCTGTAGCATCAACTTGGAGTGTTTATTCAACACTCTGAGCCAGTTTTATATTACTCTTTGGCCCCAAAAGGGCTGGAAAACCATGTAAATACAAAAAAAAATCCAATTTTTCAGCTAAACTATTCGGACATCCTCCAAATCCAGGGTCGGTTTATGCCGTCCGCAACTGTAACATTATAACTGAAAATAGTAAGAAAACAAGCGGAAAAAAAAATAATTTATTTGTGCAGGCTAAAAAAAAAGGAAGAATGATAAAAATTATTAAGAAAATCAAAGCTCAGTGGGGTCCCAGTTGGTACCAGCAACCAGTTTGTTTTGGGTGTCTGCAATTTTGACCATCCAGAATCCAGAATTTGGATGCTACATACATATTTCAAAATTGGAAATGATGTATCTGACAGCCTGTCAGTCCACCAGACCAATGCCTGGCTCTCTCAAGGCCCATCATTGTGCAGGGGATACCACCGGACCCTCCAGGCCCTCCCTGCAAAGGTTAGGGTTAAGAGGTGCGCGCCACCCCACCTTTTGGGAAAAAAGTGCGCGCCCCCGGGGCGCGCACCAGGGGGTGGCGCCAACAACCCTGGCCAGAGCCCAACCCAACTACAATTTGCACCAGGCCTAAAAAATTAAATTGATAAACTCCTCAAATAGATGGCCCACATCAAGTGGGTTTGGGAGGTCCACTGGACAGCCAGCCCAATCTTATGTGGGAGAAACAGAATTCAACAAGATTTGACACTTTTTTTATCAAAGAGAATAGCCCATAATCCTGGTTGATTTATATTCAACAAAATATTTTTTGATAAAGAAAGAGTCATACAAATATATAAAACAATAGGTTTTAGGTTTGAAAAGAGGAACAAGAGTGTAAAAAAAGATCAATTCAATTCATCAAATACAATCTTGTGAGTGGTCTTTCCAATAACAACATTAAAACAATCAATCTTCCAAGACATGTTTCTAATGTAGTCTAATTTGCTGCTATTTATGCTTTGAATAAATGACTTGGAGATCACTTCATCTGTAGAAGTGCCTTGGGAAACCTTTTCTTGCTCCAACAAGCACCAAGCAATTGAAACATGAAACCTTGGATTTTCATAATACTTGTTCTGGCAGAACAATTCAAGAATCTTGTCAATCTGTTTCAACAGGTTACACAACTGAAGAATATACATATCATCAGTTGAAAAAACATGATTTTGGTGATTGTTTCATACATAATGACTTACCAATGAATGTCCACTACCAACCTCCAGAGCCAAAAATGCTCTTGTACCTTCATCATTGACCAAAGTAGAAAAATTGGAGAAATAGACTTCAAAGCTTTGGAAAGGATCATAATATATAAGTAATTTTGTTAGCCATGTGTTTATATAATCATAAAACTTGCAATTTGATTCCCTTAACAACTTTCTTGAGTTCTTCTATAAAATTATCCCTCTCATTAGTCTTGAGAAATGCTGGACGGGAAAGAGACAAGTGAAGAGAAGAATCTGAGAAGAATAAAGTGACTGTAAGTGTGTAAATTTTTTCCAGCTGAACCAAAACATATAAATATTTACCTGAAGGAGTTCCCTCTGTCAATAAATGCCAAACTTTGGAATGGTCATCCTGAGCTAGCTCCTTTACTATTTTTCTCAAGAATTCCATAGTTTTTGCCTGGAAATTAACTTCATCATGTGGAATTCATCACTATATACAGGATATTTTCTAAATGAATAATAATTTTGCAAACATACTTGAAATGTAAATGTGTGTTGGCCAATCTCCATCAACATGTGGCCTAGCACGCTTGCGGCCCTGGTGCAAAGATGGATCTGATGATGGATTTTTACTTAACTTTGATTGATTGAAACATTTACTTTAGTTAATTCTTTTCTTACCATTGGCTGAAGACTCTGTAGCTTTTGAAGGATTAAATGATGGAGCTGGGAGTTTTCTCCTTCAGTTTTTTTACATAATATCAGTTTCCAAGTTTGAAGCAATCCAATCCAGAACAGTTTTGACTAACCTGCGCTTTATTCCACCAGAGCTCTGGTCATTTTCTCCCGTTCCTTGTATGTTGGATTGTTTGTCCATTCTGATATTAGAGCAGAAAGTAAGTTTGCTTTTTGCCAGAACTCAGATTATCTGTTTTTAGAGGGGGGGGGATACTTACATGTGGTGAATTGGATAGTTTTAGTTAATTGTAGCTGCTTTAAAACAATAAGGTTTGTAGGGTTAGCAACAAAAAGAGATTTGAATATGTGGCTTGTTCATCAACACTCCCACATGTTATGGCAAAGTTTGAAATTAAATTTGTCTGGGGTCAGCAGTGGTCCCCCCTGGTCGATTGAATCAACCCAGTCAAAGCACAACAAAGTTTACAGATGCTAGATTTAAGGTCAAAAAACTCAAAAACTGAAAATGGTTAAGTGCAACATAAATATCACACTTGTTGCAAGACTGCGCTACCACTTTGTTGATCTCCATGGATCTGAAAGGTGGACCAAGCTGTCCAAATTCCATATCTTTTGAAATTTGTTTCCTGAGGAAGGGTTTTGATTTCTGATTAACATAGATCTTGTAGTTCATTAAAACCACTCATCTGTCTCTGGTTTGTATGTTAGTAAGCATCCTGAATTTGTGGATGGTAGGCAGAGAAGTGTGGGGTTTTTTTTGGCTCCATTAAGTGAGAGTGGGGGGACTTGAGGCTCAACTTCTGGAACCTTCGACCCAAAAACTGGTCAATTGACTCTGCGCCCGGAGCTGCTGTGAAACCGAGCTGTCTGCGACCTCAATCCCTTCACATACCAAACCATCCGGACATCAGCAGCACAACATCGAGTTCAGCCTCAGGTCGGTCATCGACGCGATTCTTCCATCTGAAAGTTTAGCTCAGTCACCATGTCCAAGCGTAAGCAGTCCCGCACATTCAATCACCTCAAGTTCGCCTCGGATTGCTCACCTTGCTGTCTCAAATTCCAGATCATCCGGATTTGATTCAATGTCGAAAACAGCCAGGGATCGCGATCGCTCGAATGTGCGAGAAATGTGATGGAAAATGTCCCATTTGCGATTCGTATGTTCGACCACAAACCTTGGTTAGAATATGCGATGAGTGTAACTTTGGCACTTACGGCGGAAGATGTATCATCTGCGGTAGCCCTGGCATAAGTGATGCTTACTATTGTTCGTCCATGATAATGTTATCACAAGGATTCATGAAGTCTCGCTGTTCGCACACTTCAAGCTAACTGGCCATCTTTCGGACAGGTACCGAGTGCACAAGGCTGGAAAAGGATAGGGACGGATGTCCTAAGATCGTCAATCTGGGTCTGTTTTTCAAATCTATCCGCTGTTGTTATGCTTCACTGGCTCTTGTCATTAGCTCTGACCAAGCTGTCTTGTCTTGACTGGTAATATAGGTGCTAGTCGGACGGATCTTTTCTACGAGAGAAAACGATTGGTAAGTTCACTCGTGCCTTCATCTCCCTTGCACATCAGCTGCTGACTTTTCATATGCGTTTGATTGTTTTTAACATCGTTTATGTGATTTAATCGAATAGGGATTCCAAAAAGGATAACTTTGATACTCTCACTTTTGTGACTCACCGATTATATGAGCTTATCTCCGTCCGCACTTCTCTCAAGATGTTTAGAGCCCCGGCTCCCTTGTTTTTAGCCTGATGCACTTCGATGATCGATTTCACAACGCAGTCTGTATCAATATTTCTGCTTGAATAATGCACCAATCCTCCTCATAGATCAAGATTTGCCGTATTTGTAAAGCTCTATCGTTGAAGACATCGGTAACTTTCATTTCTATTTCAGGCCTCTCTCCATGGCTCAACAACGAACCGGCCACCCCATTTTGTAGATTCCATCTTGGATTGCCGCCTGAAATTTATCCAGATCTGATACTTATTGACGTAATTGCTAGACATCATGTTCGCAAGGAAGAAATCACGTTCATACGTCTCGCATTGATAGATTCAGTGGTTCATCCTCTGGTTAGCCTGCTGAATGAAACTGCAATTCCACCGTCTGGGCAGCCTAAAGCTATTAACAGCAAGGGAAGATTGGGCTTGAATTATTGATTCAGCATTCTTACACGTTATTCTTTTTCGCGCACGTTTGATATGCCACAGCGCTATATCAATATATCTCATCTTTGGTCCGTGTGTCCATTCTGGCCTTCATTCTCACAACATTCTTCGTCTTTTTACACCTCTGGTTTCAAGAAACCCCTGTTTTGATCATTTGGTTTGGTGTTTCTGAGGGAGGGCAGCAAGATGATACAAGATCGAGAGAAAGGACTGGCAAGTCGCCACAAGAGCACACATCAAACATCGCAAGTCATAGTTTACAAAGGAATCGAAGCTGATAGGCATCTTTAAGTCAATTGCTCCTGCATTTCTTGGGATGACGGGAGTCATATTGAGAAAGACAACAAGGAGAAAGCATGAGCGGTTGTAAAAAGGAACGGAAATCGGAATTGATGAGCCCGCGCCATTGGGAAATAAATAGCTGGATGAGGTGACATAATGATCTTCAAGGTACTCTGGAGGTTAACATCGCTTGTCATCGGTTCATAAGCGAGATTTCTCAGACTGGGGCCTGTTGAGTATGTTGGCCATTGAAAGAGTCACTGTGTGTGATAAATCCAATGAAAGTGTCAGTCCTCGGACAATTTACGCCAAATCACGAACATTCACGTACTAGTCCCAGATCATTGGAGTGTCAAGGAAGCGCTGATTCTTTTCTTTGGGTGTTGGGTGGAACTTGTCGAACAACTGTTAAGTTTAGAACGAGTCAGAATGGTTATGCGGTGGCTGGGGAGGTTGGGGAGAGGAAGAGCGACTCACCGCATTGGAAAGACCAATTTGGGCACAACCGATCGTGAAATTTTTGGTAGGAAAGTCGCAGCCTACAATGGAAAAGGTCAAATGTGGATTGAGAAGATATAGAACATGAGTTCTTCACTCACCTTCAACAATCTGGGCGTATTGAATGTTCGAGGTATCGGTCTTTCTCATGACATAACTGCAAGTCAAAAGTCGGGTTGTTTTGGTCAGTTGAAAGGTTCTTTAATAGCACTACTAAGAAGGGCAACTCACACTCTTTTTCCACAGTTGGATGTCTTTGCCCTGTGAGGTTGAGAGGATGTTAGTAAAATTCCGGAGGAATGAGAACAGGTTGACGCACTCATTGAGCCAACCAGATGATTCTGCTGTGTGTTTCTTGTGGTCTGGTCCATTCCAGAGACATACTGCTAGGTCCCTATCAGAATTATATTTCTTGCAGACCTGTATGTGCCAGAACATAATTAGAATTCTGACATCCAGTGTTACAACCGAGGGAAGGAACTTACTGGTCCTCTGCCGCCGATTTGACCGATTTGAAAGGGCTGTGGAGAATACAAAAGATCAGGATTCCTCAACCCGCCAGAAAGTGGAGGGGTAGAGTTACGAACCGGCAATTTGGTGTCGTATCGCTTGACCAAGGGAGTCTGGTTAGGAGGCGCTTGGGGGCCCGAGAACTAAGAAAATATTTGTGTCAGTGAGGTTTGCAAATCGCATCATGGGCGGCGTCAAACAAATCGAACTGACTGCGTGAACAGGTGCGTTGGTGGTTTTGTTAGCCCCACATCGGACTTTTGGATCGTTGGCAGCGTGGACACACCCATCTAGGTTGAGGAAATAATTGTAACATCCTGTGTGATAAGTGGCTCCGACAGTATAGACTGACAGTGCAAAAATTAAAGCGACTAGTGAGGCTATCATGTTGAAGTGACTTAAGTTACTTATGAGATGAACGTAGAAAATCGGGTTTGGTGTGAAGGGGATGGGAGGATGGCAGGTAAGGGTGGAAAGCTCCACGGTATTTAAGGAAGCATTTAACATGTATGCCGTCCCATCAATTCCTCTCGACGACCCTCCTCAGCTCAAACCCATGAGCTTCTGGGATATTCCGTTCCGCCAAAGTTCCTGATACAGCAGTTCCCATAAAGCTTGCGGTCGCGAGCTCCTGGGATCCCAAAACTTTTTCTTTTTTTGCGCCCTCACTTTTTTGTGCCTCTTTGTCCTGTATCTGGCCCGTGTACAGCGACAGTCTTCCAGGCATTGAGGCCCAACTTCCTCATTTTTCGAGTTGAGAAGTCGGGAGTTGGACCATCGGAATCCTCTCAATTTTTTGACCAGGAAGCCGCCATCACATCGATGCAAGCCCGGCCCCCACCAGGCAACTGCCAGGTCGCCGGGCCCCAATCGAGACCTCGGTAACAGATTCGCAACCTGTACAGTCATGTGTACAGGTCACGAGGCGCAAAAAAAAGGTGGAAAGAAAATAAAAAAAAATCAGATCCCAGGAGCTCGCGAGCGCAAGCTTTCTGGGAACTGCTGTACTAACGATTTCTCAGAGTCTAGGAAGAAATCTGTACGATGTCAACCTCCCACATGCTGGTAACTCATGATGCTGTTTCCAGCTGCTTCCAGACCGCGGAATACGGATCTGACAATGCAATAATGGTGTAGTCCAAACTACAGATTTCAAGCTATTTGAAGTTGACTGTACATAGTATAGTCAAGTGCGCCCCCATCCAAAGGGTCTTGAACACTAATTTGAAAGCCACCATTGTACCCGGGGATATGAGTGAGTTGTGGCACGGCCGGTACAGAGCTTTACAGACGCTCTGTGAGTAATCAATTGGTCATATATCCTGTATCGGTGCTTAATTCAGACATACAGGCCTGTTGTGGGCACCCCAGCACTGTCTCCAGGAGTGGAGAGAAGCTTGCAGTAGCCGCGATGACTTTGCTGTAGCGGTGTTCAATTCCTTCAGTGTATTACGCGCTTCCTATCAGTTCCTATCGATATGTAACAGGATCATATATGCAACCTGCCATTGCACACCACTGCCATTGCATCAGCATTGCCGATTAGGAAACAGCGCGTTCAAAGCCAAACTGGGTCGGCCGGTGGGCTGAATAGTCAGAGAAGCGGTGATATGAATACATACGCGACCAGCAGCGGACATCCGAGGCTCCTGATTAACGACACAAAACTCAAAAGAATAAAAATAGATATGAGGTTCGTTCAGAACAGGCATAGATCACCGTTCCAGCTTCAACCGAAGCACGCTGACAATGTTGAAGGCCTGGGCAGCGGTGAGAAGTGGATAAGCAGGCGGCCTTTGATGTACAAACAAATTCAATTCGCACTTCTTCCTGTCTCGGGTCCTACGTCAATGTCATCAACAATGGATAATCCCAAACAAATTGCGTGTGGTCCACGGAAAAATATCTATTCCCATTCCACAGGTCCTGAACATTCGATGCTCCTGCCTCTCGGTGCAGGTCTTGAGGGTATCTGTATGAGCTGCTGTAGATGCACGCTTTCAGGGACTGGCAAAAATTGATGGCAAGATTAAATCGCGAGGTTGCAGAAAGTTGACAGACATCCGCCTTTGTTTCCTCTTAATTCGTTATAATTGAGAATCGAGATTAGCGCCTGCAGCGTGAATGGCCCCCCTGTGCTTGAAAGTTGAGAGGGCTTGAGGCTTGAGCCCACAGTACAAACCCCAGAGACGATGAGAGACCTCTGCATGGGACAGACCCTAGGACTCAGACAACTGTTAGTCCAAATTTCCATATTCATTTCAGTAGTCCAAGTATAGTCACAATTTTGTAGTTTGTGGTCCTGATCAATCGCTCAAACGTAGATGATAGTATTTGGCTCAATGTTGTACTGTTGTAACGGTTTTTCAAGAGCAACCCTACTACAAGCCCTAATTTTAGGTTGCTAAAACTTGGTCTTCAGGACTGCACAGCAGGCTTACAGACTCAAACTGATGTGTCATATGCCACAAATTGGCAAACAAGTCAGTAAAAATCTATGAAGGGTAGTTCCCAATACCCCCTCGGCCCCACCAACATGTCTATATATCTCTTGAGTCTTTGGCCACACTGTTTGTTTTATTTTTGTAGACAGCATTGTCAGAGGCCAAGGACTGAATTCCATTTGTGTGTGATAAAAAGCAAGAAAGCAATTAAACATGGTAGATGAGCAGCAGACCAAATAGAAATGTCACATTTTTTGGTGTTTGGAATGATTGGTTGGAGTGCAAGGTCAAAATTTCCCATCTCATAATTTTTAGTATAAATTTTAGCACTGTTCTTGGTTTTGTTGTGACTTACATACATCCTCATCTCAAAAATACATCCTCATCTCAAAAGCTTGGTCTAATAACACCAATTCACACAAATCTTTTTCCTGCTGCTGGAACCACTCCACAAGATAATCCACCAAAATTTCTGAGTCACAGAAAGCTCCACCTGCCAAGCAAGACACCAGAAATAACAATAAATATTCAAGTGAAACCAATTACTTCAGTAAAATCAATCTACCCCACCAATCCACATGAGGAAAAATAAGAAAAGGAAATTAGATGGAGACAAATTGTCAGTGGAAATTGAATACAAGCATGAATGGATTGACATGGATTTTACTCAAAAATCCAATGAGGAGATCTCCCCAATGATCTAGGTTTGATAAGAGACTGCTACACATAGTCTTCTCTATCATCAGTTTCTCCACAACAAGAAATAATTTGTTGTGCTAACTCTTGTGTAGTACAATAGAGGGGTAGGTCTTTCAAACTAGCCATAACAGTTGTAATGTAGTAGCTTGTTAGATATTTGAAATATTGAATCTACTATTTCTTCCTCACAGGACTGCCACCATTCCCAAATGAGTTCTCACAATGGCTTATGTCATCATGGGTCAACCATCAACCCCCCTGCTATACTAAAATTTTTTGTAACAGTGTAGAAAAAGGGAGTGGGTGTGGCCCAATTTGGATTAATTTAACAAGACTATCATTACAGCCAAAAAGCAACAATGGACCAGTTATGCTAATGGTAGCATTAGTGCAGTGTGAAATAGTGGAATGCCACTGACATTTAGCATATCATACTGGAACTACATGCACAGGCTAAAGAAAAAGGCCCACTATGCTGTGCAACAGCACAATTTAGTGTTTTTCCAGCTTTCTTTGCAGCTAAAAGTGCTGTACACTACAAACATAATGTACTTCTCCCATGTGTATAGATTACTATAATGGTTTAAGAAGTGTGTATAATGGATTTAGAAGTGTTTATAGTGGTTTCAGAAATGTGTATAGTGGTTTCAGAAGTGTATGTAGCAGTTATCCCATAATGGTTTTTTTCTTCTCTTATTTAGTTTCCTTGATAATATGTGCATTAAAAACCACTGGTGATCTGGTGACCTTCACCAATAAATGACAGTGAAATTGGTCAAACAGACATGAAAATTGGCAATATTGGGTGTTCCCTATGCAAATAAGGGATCAAAAGGGGTGCCT